AACAACGAGGGGAGGCGTCAACCGTGACAAGGAGGGGAAGGGAGGCGGCGGCTCGGCTCCTCCCTCTCCCAGCAACGGCGGCATCTTAGCGACGAGGAGGTTGAGACGACGACGCCGTCGGCTCGCCTCGGACGCGCGGATCCGCCGTCTGCCGGCCGCCGGTGCACAGATCCGCCGCCGACCGGCCGCCGGCGCACAGATCCGCCGCCGACCGGCCGCCGGCGCACAGATCCGCCGCCGGCCGGTATCGGGGAGGGGAGGGAAGGGGATGAGGCAGCTCGGCTTCTCCCTCTGCCGGCAACTACGGCGGCTCAGCGATGAGAAGGGAGGCGGCGCTCAGCGATGAGGAGGGGAGGCGGTGCTCCAACCCTCTCCCTCCCTTCCTCCCAGATTTGTCCGCCGCCAGCGGCGGCGGCGGGTAGGGGTGGTAGCGGCAATTTTTTTGTTCGCTGAATTTATTTTTGTAGGTGGGTGGAACTACCGCCTGCGAAAATAGAGATGCCGCCTACGAAAATTATCTATTTTGGCAGCCTGAATACGATTTTCCTAGTAGTGGTAAATCAGCACAAATTGATCAAAATCTGACAATATGCGATACCCACTGTGTTTTTTTTTAATGAAAGACCACCACAAATACTTCTTCTAAGAAAAGGAAGCATGGCGTACACAGCACAACAGTGCACACATGTATGCTTCATTAAGAAAGTAAAGAACAAAACAACCTCACATGCATATATCCCTTTTTGATCGCCTCTCTTACACGACGAGTTTTATAGAAACAATATATAATATAAGTCATTTTCCAACCCTTTCTTCTCGCACGGCTAATTAATGATCTGTTGACACTTGTTACTCTGCCAAGTAAAGTGTAAAGTACTCCCTCCATCCTATAATATAACCGATTTTAAAATTTTTGCCTGCACTAATTAATCGCTCGTCTTATTCAAAAAATTTTAAAATTATTATTTATTTATTTTACTTACTTTATTATCCAAAGTACTTTAAGCACAACTTTTCGTTTTTTATATTTGCATAATTTTTTTCTGAATAAAACGAGTAGTCAAATAATGTAAATAAAAACTTAAAATTCCTTCTATTATAGGACGGAGGGAGTACTTATTTACCACGTTATTTAAGATGTAGTGATAAGTTATTACCAGCCAATTATATATCCTCAGGAAGATTAGATATATATAGCTTCACGATAACACATGACGTTGTAAGTGCGACGCTTCATCATTGGCTCACCTTTTGTCACCATCAAGTTGTGCGCCTTATAATTAGCTTTTACATTATGCTTGGTTAATCTTGCAATTGGAATATATATTAAAAGCATAAGGCGAGAAAGTTTTTTGGACAATATTGTCCTGATCAACTTTTTGACCTTTGATCTCTTAGTCAAGCAAAAGCAGAAGCATTTATATGCATATGCAAACCATAGAAAACAAAATGTAGGTCGTAAAGCAGACCTAGCTAGGACAATCTTGAGAATAGCACGAGAATCTTTGGTTGTTATGTTTCCCTTATCATTATTTTTCTTTTGTCGACATATATATGGACCATTTTGTGTAATTAATTAATTAAAGAAGTAAAGGCAACACGTTTAATTTGGAAAAAGGCCTATATATAGGTCCAAAATTTTTCTTATAAAACTTTTACAAACGCTGATGTGGTATACTGTGAGTAGATCTAGATTTTCTATATCCATCATTTAGTTAAAGCAAATAATTGATAACTTTGTTTGTAAGAATTCTATAATAATTTCTTTTGGTACATGTAGCATGCGTCAACATAGATATAACACATACATATGAACTATTTTTCCACTGCTTCTTTGGTAAAATATCAATATTATTTTTATGGGGATAATTAGTTTTCTCATAACTCAAGTTCTGCATGTGAATTATATGCACCAGATTAGTATTTCCGATCGAGTTTAAAACTGCACAGTGCCATTATTTTATTTTATTTTATTTTTTGCGGCTGGTCTTTTCAGTGGACATGCATTTCCGTGTCCATTTTCCACTTCTTTTAAACTTTTCTAGTTGAGCCATATGCATCAAAAAGGACAGAAATTTTTGATGGAAATGCAGGTGTGGTAGTTTGTGCATTACATATACATTCAGATAAGGTGGGTTGCTAGCTAGAGACTGAGTTAATGTTAATCTTTTGACATTATACACTACGCTTCAAAGTGAAAATTAGGTAACTGCACTGAATGGAAAATGGCAACACTATTAGGTCTAGCTACTAGCAGAGCCATCTCTAAGAATTTAAGGCCTTAATTTTTTTTAGGGTAAACACAGCTAGGGATTTATTCAATTTAAGGCCTTAATTTGAAATGGAAAATATAAAGCCCTAAAACTAGAAAATTTATATAACCAAAACAACATACTTTCATTTAATTATATAACTTTAATACATGTTATTTCTTACCATATTTTAATATAAAAGAGTAAAGGTAGTACTCAAGCACCTTGAGTGTACTTTGGTCTACATGATAGTTATGGTCCACTGAGATATTGTTTTAGTTGATCTTTTATTGAAAAACTCGGGAGCTCTAATTTTTTGGGGTCCCCTGTGCGGCTGGTCGCCTCGCCCTGAGTCGATAGCCTTGACTATACACGCTTTTTCTTGTATAAGTAATTTATGTTTAAAAATATATATGTAAAAGTACTATGATAATTTTTTTCTCTACAGGTTCAAATTATCATGATTTGTGTTTTTTTTTCATGCTTGTGCTTGTAAGTCCCATGAAAAAAAATGAAATGATCTAAATTTCACTCTATTCAAGTCTAGCAAGTAGCAAGCTAGGAGCTAGCCCTTAAGGGTGTTTACAATGCGTTGACGTGGCGTTCAGTCTCACTCCAAAAAACAGAATATTTGTGGCCACGTATGCACGCCGCTCGGCCTCCTCAGGTTCGCGTAGCCAACTTTGGCTACGCGTTCCTCGTTGTAGGTGGGCCCACAATCGTGCGTCGCCGCCTCGATTCCACCGCTCGACGCCGCCGAATAGAGGAGCCGGAGCTCGCCAGCTTCCACCGCCCGACGCCACCGGAGAGAGGAGGCGCTGGAGAAGGGAGAGGGGAGAGCCACCGATAGGGGGAGATACCGGCGACCGGCGCCGTCGCGGGGCAGGTTGAGGCCCCGGCTGCTCCCGCGCCAGATCCGCGCCGCCCGCTGTCCCTCGCTCCCGCCGCCCCGCCTCCGCTCGGCGCCGCTCGGGGGAGGGAGGACCTCGCTCCAGCGTCGCCTGTGCCGCCGAGCTGCCGCCGCCGTCATTGAGGCCATCCCGCAGTCGAAGTTGCTGCCGCCGCCTTCGAGCCACCGCCGCCGTCTCCCAAGGCCGGATCCGGCGACCCTAAGGCCGGATCTGGCGAGGAGGGGCACGGAGCGGAGCGGCCGTCGTCGAGCCGTCGGCACCATCGTCGAGCCGCTGGCACCGTCGTCGCGGAGAGATGGGAGGGAGAGCGGATGAGATAGGGAGGGAGAGGTCGGGCGCCGACAGCCAACAAGGAGGGGGCGGCGTGGAGGAAGGCGTCCCGGCAGCCATGGCGATGATTTCGCAGAGAAAGGATTTCGCGACGATGAGGACGGGGAGGAACGAGGAGGGGAAGAGGAAAAGTGACTTGTGACTTGTGGGACCCACTAAAACAATAGTCCACACGCGCTATGAAATATTGCACCGTGGAGCTTGTGGCTTTTGAAGTTCTTAGGTCAATTTGGCACCCCAGGCTGAACAAAACGTGTGACGCATTGCTCATGCCCTAATAACTTCAATCCAAGCTGAAGTTGTCAGCACTGTGATGGCATGGGAGAAATTTTTCCCTTCAAATTAACTTGTTTCTTTCACGAGCTTTTTAAGAAACTAATCGCTTTCCCTCACCACGAAGACTAGTTCGTCATATATATTCCACTAATTGACGATCGATCATTATTAGAATATTAGTGGAAGCATATATTCGTCAGCTTTAGAACTACTTTTGTGTTTGAAAATGAACTTATCTAATTATGAAGATCATATAACTGGTATATATGCATGTCATGAAACGACATGAAACATAAGTGCCTACGAGGTTTTTCCAAGCAGTTAACGTCATAGATTTTGAGCTAATGCATGCCTTTTGGTCAAGTAATTTTCACATGACCCCATAAATATAAAAAGCGTATATTTTTCTTGTCCTTTAAATAAAATTTCCACAATTAGGGAACAAATTAATGATAGTTCCAAATAAAGGATAAAACTGCCACTGCATGCATTAGCGGAATTTAGAAAAGTACTGCAAGTTAACAATCTTTTATCTAGAAGATCTTCCAGTTACCGTTAATATCAGCAGTTGCCTTAATGAAAAACTTGAAATTAAATCACAATAATTCCATGTGATATATTTGTGGTCAAATTAAATTTTAGAAATTTCTTTTACATACGCATGAGAGCTTACTAATTTGTATTTTGTTAAAGAAAAAACAATAAAACTTCAAGTATGTACATTTGGCAACAGCACAAGTACTTTTTTTTAAAAAAAAAAACCCACAAGAATAGTTGCAAAAGAAACTTAAATCCAAATCTTGTTTTAGCCAGAGAGTTACATGTCACAATTGTTTTATCTTACATTAGCTGTGTGAATATTACTGTGCAGGTAACAAAAGGCTAAGAAAAAGAAACAAGAATAAATAAAGCCAAAACCTAATATATTCCCTCCGTACTCGTAAAGGAAGTCGTTTAGGACAATGTTTAAGTCAAATCTTGGAAATATAAATCATGAATAACTCTCAAGTTGTTAAGTTTGAAAATGTAAAAATTATATGAATAGATTTGTCTTCAAAAATACTTTCATAAAATTTTTAAAGTATACATATATCACTTTTTCAACAAATATTTTTATAGAAATAAGAAGTCAAAGTTATGTTTTGGAGACCGTGTCGCTCTCCAAAACGATTTCCTTTACGAGTACGGAGGGAGTATACCACTAATTAACCACACCAAACACACACACATATGTATCCATCGAGACGGCGACATCACAACTTAATTAATGATAATCGAAAGTTTTTTTAACAACAACCATTTAATTCTGAAATTTGGATGCATGGATGGATGATAGAATATTAATTGGCTACCCCCTCCTAGAAAACCACATGGAGATTTGCAGTCTCTACCAACCAACTAGGACGATGACGTCACCAACGACGACCATGCAACGTTACGTACTCCGGCCGCCATGATCGATCGCTCACGGCGGAGGGATGACGATGCAGCCGTCGGCGGCGCAGTGCGGCGGCGGGCGGTGGGCGAAGGCGATGCACTCCTCCGGCGAGCGCTGGTGCGGCCAGTCCGGGATGCAGTTCATCCGGTCGTCGCGGAGCGGGACGTGGAGGCAGGACACCGGCTCGTCGCAGAAGTAGTTGCCGGCGATGGTGAGGTTCCTCAGCCTGGGTAGCTCGCAGATGGCCTCGGGGACCTCGCCGGCGAGCATGTTGTGGCCGACGTTGAGCACCTCCAGGCTCTCCATGTCGCCGACGCTGGCCGGCAGCTCACCGGCGAGCTCGTTGTGGCTGAGGTCGAGCACCCTGAGCTTCTTCAGCTTGCCGATCTCCGGCGGGATGCAGCTGCTGATGCTGGTGTTGAGGAGGATGAGCTCCACCAGCGTGTCCGCCATGTCGCCGATGGACGGCGGCAGGCAGCCGGCGAGACGGGTGTTGGCGAGCACGATCACCGACGCCGTCGAGTTGGTGAGGCTTGCCGACGACAGCGACACGTTGAAGCGGTTGTCGTTGGCGAAGATGGCGTCGAGGCCGAGCCGGCGGCCGAAGACGGCGGCGGGGAGCTCGCCGTCGAAGGCGTTGAAGCGGAGGTCGAGGAACTTGAGCCCCGGCAGCGAGGTGAGGAACGCCGGGAACGCGCCGGCGAGGAGGTTGTTGCTGACGTCGAGCTCGAAGAGGAGGCGCATGTGCTGCATCGACGGCGGCAGCGTGCCGCGGAAGCGGTTGGAGTTGAGGTGGAGGAGCGCGACGTCGGCGAGGAGGCCGAGGTGGTCGGGGAGGCACCCGGCGATGTCGCCGTGGTTGAGGTCGACGCCGGCGACGGTGAGGACGTGCGGATCGTCGGGCGCCGCCGCGCAGTAGACGCCGGTGTAGTTGCACACGAACGGCCCGCACCAATCCTCCGTCAGGTTCTTGGGGTCCTCGGTGATGGCGTGCTTCCACGCCTGGAACGCCACGTACGCCGCCTCCAGCCGCTCATTGAACGGCGACAGCGGCAGCGATGGCGGCGGCGCCGGCGACGCCGAAGGCGACGGCGAAGGTGAAGGAGAAGGAGAGGGGAGAGGCTGGGAGAGACATGGAAGGAGAAGGAGGCAGAGGAGGAGGGGGAAAAGTTGGAGAGTTCTTGGCTTTGAGAGAAGAAGAATTAGCTGCATTTTGGTTGAATTGTTGCAATGCTTAATTAGAGAGAGAAACTAGAGAGATGGAGAGGATGAGAGAGGTAATAGGAAGAGAGTGTTCAGCACTGTGGTATGGTCTTGGATTTTGAGGTGGTTATATATGGAGTTTTTTTAGGTGGAGGGGGATTGTGTTATGCTTGGTCATGGATGGATGTTGACTTAATTTTGTTCATTCATATATAGGAGTGAATTTCTAGTTGGTGTTTGGGGCTTTGGAAGTTAGCATCATGAAGATCCATAGAAAGTTGTATAATCTTTTCAGTCCAAGGTAGATCAACATGACATATATTGCTTTCATATTTTTTTTACTTAATTAACATCTTAATATTCATGGTTCACAAAACCATCCAAAAGACCCACAAATTCTCCTCTTTTTTTTTGTTATTTACCTATGGTTCGAGTTAACAAACCGCTCAGTAAAACGATCAAATAAAAAACCAAACTGCCTTTTCTTTTGTAAAATTTATCTAAATTTCAACGGATTTCACGAAAATCATTAAAAAGACGAAACCGCTCAGGAGCATTATTCAATTAGCAAACAGTCTTGTGAAGTTGTGAACCGTGCTCTAAGTTGCAACATTTTCTTTTCTGCGAAACAAACCTGCAACATGTGATTTGCATTTCTTTTTGTAATTTTACATTAAAAATATTTAGAATGTAATTTTGAACATGATGATAGCTAGTAAAATTATAGAGGGAAATTTGACGGTCGAGATTTCAGAGCAACAAATAAAAAGAACAGCAGGTGACTGTACAGATTTTTTTACTTTTTTTTAGAAAAAGGGTAATTTTTACCCGGCCTTTGTATATATCCAACCGGACAAAATATTATATCCTTGCAAAATGGAAAGCAGAAAGCGATTTTCGCTAATGCAGAATCCCCCTTTTCTCATACAGGGAATAATGGCTCTGCACGGTTTATTCTGAATCTGATACATAAAATTTCCCTACCTAGGATGGCGTTTATGCTGAAGATCATTGTGATGCCTGACTAAGTAGTGCATGTACACTAGGACAACAAAACTTTCTGGGCATCACACACAGGGTTTCAGGTGAGAGGTCATTGTCAATATTCATCTCCAGTCTCCATCCCTGTCTTGTAGGACGAGAGATTAGGCGCTAAAAATCAATTAAGATCAGCGTGAGGTCAGACTCGTCAGTCGTCAGGCATCACACTGCTCTTCAACTGGTAGGGCTCATCTTAATTCGTTGGCTTAGCATGCAAGATTAATCTGTTCACATCTGTTCGCGCGCTAGGACCAGCATTAGTGCACAAATGTCGCTGTAAGGGCTTTTGGAGAGAGAGAGAGAGAGAGAGCTTGAGCTTAGCACAAATGGAAGCATCAGAGGAGCTAGAGGAGAACATGGCTGGTTCAGCTTCAGCTCTGTAACATGACCTCCTTACCTCTCGCTTGTTGGCACATCTTGAGCACGCACGCACTCCCTCTCTTATCATGGTCAGTGTTTCTAACAGCTACAGCTTCACTAAAAATCTCCAATTTTATAAACAGTTCATATTCTAACTTAGATGATCAAAATTTATAGTTATAGAATTAAAAAAAAAGAAACATAAGAGGTCAAAAGTCGAGAAACTTAACTTTTCCATATTCTCATCAGCTGTCTACTCACCTATTATTTCTTAGAGCTCGAGCTCCCCCAAAACAAACTAAAATAACTCAACGTGTGTTTCTGGCTTTCTGCACATCTGCATCCACTGCATCTCTCTCTCAAGATTCACTGTCAGAGGCTCCAGCTTAACCCAATCCGGTAGGTGAGGGAAAATGGTGGCTGGTGAGATTGCATTTCCCTGCACCGAATCTTCTCGCAACAAATGCGGTTTTAGGTTAATGTTTTACCCATTCCTTTTGCACCTTCGACTGTAACTGTACTATATTATTATTATTATTAACCACAGAGAAGGTTAATCTTCACACTTGCTGCCGACAGGTTGCATGGACAGCCTTCTCTAATCCGTGACAAAAACAATAAAATGATCTATCGGTGCTAGCTAATTGGGAATTGCTTGAACGAGATGAACCATCCTTTTTCTGCCTAATGGAATAGACTATGATTCGAATGCCTTTTAGCACACGAGGTGCATATGCAGCAGATCGATAGAGGAACTGTAGTTGATCAGACTGAACTTTCATCATCGTTTTCTCTGAATTGCAGACAAAGAAACCCAATGGAGAATATTTGCTGCCTGCCTTCAGTTTCTCTTCTGGTTACATGGTGACATCCATCCAATGCAATCGATCGATTTGTCTACATGGCCTGCAGACAAGAAGGCTCACCATATGATCCCTGCATAAGATATGTTCTTAATTATTTGGAGTTTAGAGCAAGTGAGACATGATCAATTGACATGTCTCCTTGATATGTATGGCTCGGTTCAGAGATTGTGCATGCATGAAGCTGGTCTAATATGGTCAAGCAGGTACTATATAGCTATCCCAGCAACAGTCACTGCACCATGCATATATATAGAAATTAAGTCCAAACCAAACATCAGGAATATGTATATGAATTCAGCTTCTACCATGAAACTCTACTGGTAGTCCAACATCCACGTCAGCTCAGTACAATGCAATGGGCCGTTGCTAATTGAAGCTCAAGGCACACCTTGGATCAAGAAATGTAATACAAACAGGAAATAAATATGCATACCAAAAGGTTTGCAGAAGCAGAGATGCGTACCGCGGTGACAATTAATTATAAAAGTAAGTTTGGATTGCTATAAATTTCCAGCAAACTCTGCAGTAAAGAGACCACCGTCAAATTGTCTAAAATTAATGGGATATGGTCATATGTAGAAGATGTAAGATTAATTGCAAGAATGCATAATGATTTGTCCAACTATAATTAATGCATGAGATGTGATGATGTGAGCTAGTGAGGGTGTACAAAAATGTCATCGGACACCCACCGTTGTACTTACTTGATTTGAGTTGGAAGGATTAATTCGATATGGATCAAAGGAAGTGACCTTTGTCCAGCCTCTCATGGCTCATCACCTAGATTTTTCACAATTTGATCCTTTTTAAAAATTTATTTTGCAAATAGACTTAAAAAAAACTTATCTAAAAAATAGTCCTTCTTAGAACGTCAGAGTAGCTAGCGGCACCGGCCAAGGGACGACAGCAGCCTCTCTGGCGGCCGTGGCGGGGCGGTGTTGAGGTGGCAGGGGGAGCGTGCCAATGTGGCTGGAGCTGCCCCCCCCCCCTAATTTTTTTTGATATTTTTTTCACACTTAGAAGCATACAAGAACTAACCATATAAAAAATAAACTCAAATGGACGAAATACGTGACTTGTAGAATTTTCCAAAGCTATACCGAAAAGCCCCCCCTCTCCCTGCTCTTCGTTGTTTTGGTTTTTCCTATAGTCCCCAAAAAGAGTAGATTAGATTTCAAACACTCTTAACCTTTTTTTACATCCTATAAACAATAAAGAAAAAGTTAGGGTTTGTGTTTTTTTACATCGGGTGTCATTTCTTAAAATAGACATAACTTTCTCATACGGACTTAGAATCAGGTCAATAATATATCCACGGACATCTATAGAAAAAGTTATATCCAATTCTTACTAGCTTCGTCGGGTTCGGCGAAAGTAGAATCTCCAAATTCCGCTTGCAAGATTATGTTTACGAGGCGAGAAGCTTTTCGGTAGAGTTTTGAAAAATTCTACAGGTCACACATATTTCTTCTATTTGAGTTTATTTTTTGTATGTTTGGTTCTTGTGTGCTCCTAAGTGCAAAAAAATATCAAAAAAAAATTAGGGGGGCGGTGCCAGCCACATTGGCGCGCTCCCCTGCCACCTCAGCGCCACCCCACCATGGTGGCAGGAGGACGGCGCCAGAGAGGCTGGTGCCGTCCCGTTGGACAACGGCGCCAACTATTCTGGCGCCCCAAAAAGGATCATTTTCGGAATAAGTTTTTTCAGGAGTCTATTTGCGAAATAAGTTTTTCAAAATGACTGAGTTGTGAAAAATCCAGGGCTCATCACCCCCTGCTATATAGCCAATGACTACAAGCAAGCATGATCAGTTATCCTTACGACAGGTTAACCATAGAATAATAGAAATACTCAAAAAAGTAGTACAGCAAGCTGTGTGGTCTGGTTCACACAAGTTTGGCACACAATCTGGATACAGAAAGACTGGAAAATCCATTGGTGATGTTCCTGTTTCATGAATTCGGAAGCTTTGAAATTGTACAGGTCTCAGAGCAGAACTACCACAATAGCTGCAGAGTACAGTCACAGTCACAGAAGAATATAAAAGCGCACATAATATTAAGCGCCATGCATGTGCAAGTGATAGTTAAAGAATTAATCTGCAGGTAATCAACAACGGAAAGCTAAACGCTTGCATGATCGAAGGACTCCATCGGCGCTGCTGAAGCTTTTGATTCCATTTCTTGGCAATTCATTTTGGAAGTTTTGGAGCACAAAGGCTTCGGCCTTCGGTGGCGCTCGTGGGTTGCCATGTTGTTTCGAACAGCTAGCTCAAGGGTCTTAATCAATGGTGAGCCGGGCTGCCCAATTCTTCATCGGCGAGGAGTTCGCCACGGAGATCCCATTTCCCCTATGATTTTTATCTTAGCCATGGATGTGCTGAGTTCCATCTTCTCCAAAGCTGAGGGTGAAGGTTTGCTGCAGCCGTTAGCGATTCCTTTTAGTGTATCCCTATATGCTGATGATGTGGTCGCATTTATACGGCCGGTTATGGATGAGATTCGCACTGCCACGCAAATTCTTGCCATTTTCGAGGAAGCGTCTGGTCTTCAAACAAATTTTACAAAATGTTCAACGCTTCCAATCCAGTGCAATGAGACGGATCTCCAAACTCTCCATGATGAATTGCCATGTCAGGTCGTTTCCTTCCCTTGCACATATCTAGGATTGCCTCTGTCCATCTTCCACCTGAAGAAGGAAGACTTGCAGCCACTGGTTGATAAAATCGCGCGCCGTTTGCCTTCTTGGATGTCTCACTTGATGACGCCTATTGGCCGGGCTACCATGGTGAACACTGTACTGAGCTCAATTCCCGTCTACCTACTCATGGCCATCAATGCACCGAAGTGGGTTATCAAAGGGATTGACAAGATCCGTCGCAGCTTTC